TCAAGGATAGCCTCTTCTAAAAAAGAGTCTTAGGCCACCCTGGGCTACATGAGACCCTTATCATCCGAAAGAAAGAAAATTTAAAAAGGCAGGGAGCCGGTTCAGCGGGTAACAGGTGCCCTGCCACCCTGGCGATCTGAGTTTGAGCCTTGGCAACCACGGAAAGGAGAAAACTGACTTCTGCAAGTTGTCTTCTGACCTCCACCTGTGTGTCTGCACACATCATAAACACACACAGTCCAATAATAGACAGAAAAATACAAGCATCCATTGTCTCCTAGTGGACCATAGCTAGAGGGTCATCCTGAGAAGATGCGCTGCTTGCTGAGGCCATTTGCGGGGGGGGGGGGGGGGGGGACACATGATGACACAGGAAAGAGAGGGACTCAAGGGCATTAGAGGCCAGAAATAGTTACTCTGTTTAGCAGGGCACCTGTATAGGTGGTGGAGGCTGCTGATGAGAAAGTACTATGTTTATATAAGTGTGCTTGCCTCTGTGTGTGCGCATGTGCTTGCATGGGCTCATTTATGACCACATGGATGTTGGCTAGCATTCTGTTAACATAAACTAGTGTCATCTGAGAGAAGAGAGTGTGGTAGTTTGAGTGTAATTGGTCCCACACTCCCATAAACCCATAATCTCATAGGGAATGACACTATGAGGAGGTGTGGCTTTGCTGGAGTGGGTATGGCCTTGTTGGAGGAAGTGGGGGTGCGGGCTTTGAGGTTTCTTATGCTCAGGATACCACTGAGTGTCTGTCTCGGTTGACTTCCTGTTACTATGAGCCAAGATGTAACCAGCACATCTGCCTGCACACCCGCCATGCTCCCCACCATGATGAAAATGGACCGAACCTCTGAAACTGTAAACCATCACTTCAATTAAATGTTTTCTTTCGCCAGGTGGTGGTAGTACCTGCCTTTAATCCCAGCACTTGGGAAGCAGAGGCAGGCGGGTCTCTGTGAGTCCAAGGCCAACCTGGGCTACAGAGCAAGTTCCAGGACAGCTAGGGCTATTACATAGAAAAACTGTGTCTCGGGCTGGAGAGATGGCTCAGAGGTTAAGAGCATTGCCTGCTCTTCCAAAGGTCCTGAGTTCAATTCCCAGCAACCACATGGTGGCTCACAACCATCTGTAACGGTGTCTGGTGCCCTCTTCTGGCCTGCAGGCATACACACAGACAGAATATTGTATACATAATAAATAAATAAATATTTAAAAAAAAAAAGAAAAACTGTGTCTCAAAAAACAAACAAACAAAAAATTTTCTTTGTAAGAGTTGCTGTCATCATGGCGTCTCTTCGCAGCAATAAAAATCTTGGCTAAGGCAGGGAACCTCAGTTGAGAAAATGCCTCCATAAAAATCCAGCTTCATGCAAACCTGTAGGGCATTTTCTTAATTAGTGATTGATGGGGGAGGGCCCAGCCCCTTGCAGATGGTGCCATCCCTGGGCTGGTGGGTCCTAGGTTCTATAAGAAAGCAGGTTGGGCAAACCATGTGGAGCAGATCAGTAAGCAGAGCCTCTCTGTGGCCTCTGCATCAGCCCCTGCCTCCAGGTTCCTGCCCTGTGTGAGTTCCTGTTCTGTCCTCCTTGGATAAGAAACAGTGATGTAGAAGTGTGAGTCCAGTAAACCCTTTTCCCCCAGGTTGGTTTGTCCATGCAGTTTCACTACAGAAGAGCCCCGGGTGACAGGCTACGGGAAGGAAGGAAAACAGGGCAAAGGGGAAGGAAAGGCCACAGCTGGGATTGAGGGCTGCAGGGCCCATGTGACACAGAGCAAAGAATTTTAGGCCTGGGGGAGATGGTTCTTTCCTCCCCCAGATCTAGAAACTGACAGGAATGCAGTCCAGGGTTTGGGGAGATACCAAATCTGTTCAGGACTTAGTAATTTGCATGCAATTGGCTCCCACAAACTCATAGGGAGTGGCGCTGTTAGGAGGTGTGGCTTTGTTGGGAGTGGGAAGTGTATCACTGTGGGAGCAGGCAGTATTTCCGTCAACTTCCTGCTGCCTGCAAGTTGTAACATCAGGTCTGCCCGCATGCTGCCATGCTCCCCGCCATGATAATGGACTGAGCCTCTGAGACTGTAAGGGAGCCACCCCAATTAAATGTTTTCTTTATAAGAGTTGCCAGGCAGAGCCAGGCATTAGTGGTGCACGCCTTTAATCCCAGCACTCGGAGGCAGAGGCAGGCGGATCTCTGTGAGTTCGAGGCCAGCCTGGTCTACAAGAGCTAGTTCCAGGACAGGTTCCAAAGCTACAGAGAAACCCTGTCACGAAAAATAAGTAAGTAAATAAGTAAGTTAATTAATTAATTAATTAAATTAAAAGCCAGGCTGTGGTGGTGTACACCTTTTGTTATGGTTTAAGTAAAATGCTGTTGATGTGGGAAAGTCATATATCAATCTGTTGATTTCATTTGTTAATAAAGAAACTGCCTTGGCCCATTTGATAGGCCAGCCCTTAGGTGGGTGGAGTAGACAGAACAGAATGCTGGGAAGAAGGGATGTGAGCTCAGTCACCATGCCTCTTCTCTCCAAGATGGACGCAGGTTAAGATCCTTCCCGGTAAGCCATGTGGTGCTACACAGATTATTAGAAATGGGTTAAGCAAGATATAAGAGTTAGCCAAGAAAAGGCTAGATATAATGGACCAAGCAATGTTTAATAGAATACAGTTTCCATGTTATTTTTTGGGGGCATAAGCTAGCCAGGCGGCCGGGAGCCGAGTGGCAGGAACACAGCCTGCAGCTCCATCTACATGCTGTGGTTTCCTGAGTGGTGGCAGCGGACCAGGAGACCACGCTGCAGGTTCCCAAGTGGCAGCAGGCAGCAGGTTACAAGACCACGGGTGGGCCACGAAGGCAGCTGGGTCCCTAGCAGGGAACCTCCCAGAGTGGCCCGCAGGCCATGAGGGCCAGCAGGTCCTAGGCACAGAGTCGTATGGTGGGTGAGAGACTGAGATGGGTAGGCACACCATGCAGAGGAAGTGGGTATTTATTTAGTGGGTTATGGAGGGGTAAGGGAAAAGGGGAGATGGGGGTAGAGGAGAGGAGCCAGGGCAGCAGCTACCTCTTTGGGAGAAAGAAAGTTCAGGCCGAAGCAGAAGATCTGCCTGCCTTGGGAGTGGGGAGCTTGTCTCTTTAAGGAACAGGACAGACCATTACACCTTTAATCACTGCACTCAGGAGGCAGAGGCAGGTGGATCTCTGAGTTCGAGGCCAGCATTGTCTACAGAGCGAGTCCCAGGACAGGCTTCAGAGCTACAGAGAAACCCTGCCTCAGCGGGACAGTGGTGGTGTATGCCTTTAATCCCAGCACTCGGGAGGCAGAGGCAGGCAGATCTCTGTGAGTTTGAGGCCAGCCTGGTCTACAAGAGCTAGTTCCAGAACAGGCTCCAAAGCTACAGAGAAACCTTGTCTTGTGAAACCAAAAAACAAAACAAAACAAAACAAAAAAAACACACTGAGACAATGGGGATGTTCTATCGGGAACTCACCAAGGCCAGCTGGCCTGGGTCTGAAAAAGCCTGGGATAAAACCGGACTCGCTGAACATAGTGGACAATGAGGACTACTGAGAACTCAAGAACAATGGCAATGGGTTTTTGATCCTACTGCACGTACTGGCTTTGGGGGAGCCTAGGCAGTTTGGATGCTCACCTTACTAGACCTGGATGGAGGTGGGTGGTCCTTGGACTTCCCACAGGTCAGGGAACCTTGATTGCTCTTCGGGCTGATGAGGGAGGGGAACTTGATCAGGGGAGGGGGAGGGAAATGGGAGGCGGTGGCAGGGAGGAGGCAGAAATCTTTAATAAATAAATGAATTAAAAAAAAAAAGAAACCCTGCCCTACCTCAAAAAGTTAAAAAAAAAATTGTTGCTGTGGTCATGGTCTCAAGCCCTGACTAAGACAAGGACTATGTGATATGGGACTGGGTTCTGAGAAGGGGAGGATGGTGCAGGTCTCACTCCACCTGGACAACCTTTAATTACTGTTCAACAAAGATGTACTTACACACACTACTTGCAAAATTAAAGGAGTCAAGCATAGTAGCATCCATCTGAATCCCGGCACTCAGTAGGTTGAGGCAGGAAAATTAGTCTGAGTTCAAGTTCAAGACTAACCTGGGTTACATATCAGGACCCTGCTTTAAAAAAAATAAGGCTAGGAAGATAGCTCAGTCAGTAAGGGATTCTGATATAAGAACAGGACTTGATTTGGGCCCTAGCACCCTGATAAATAGCTGGGTGTGGTGGCTCGCACTTGTAATCCCTCCTCTGTGGTAGCAGAGGAAGAAAATATCTCTGGGGTTCACTGGGCAGCCACTCTAGCTGAGTCAGCAAGCCCCAGGTTATAGAACAGTGGTTTTCAACCTTTCTAATGCTGCACCCCTTCAATACAGTTCCTTGAGTTATGGTGACCCTCAACCGTAAAATTATTTCATTGCAACTTCATAACTGTAATTTTGCTACTGTTATGAATAAGATATGCAGAATATCTGATATGTGACCCTGTGTAAAGGTAATTTGACCCCCCCCCACACATGTTAAGAGTCACTGCCCTAGTGAGAAACCCTGTCTCAAAAACTAAGGCCGGGTGGCTTCTGAGGAAAAGACTTACATCTGGTGTGCACATGCATGCACACAAGCACACATTTTTTTAAAAAATTATCCCTTGGGATGTACCTCAGTTTGTGGAACTTTTTTTTCTTTTTGCAGAATAGTTATTAAGGTTGCTTAATATATAATTTTTTTTTTTTTTTTTTAGTTTTTCGAGACAGGGTTTCTCTGTAGCTTTGGAGCCTGTCCTGGAACTAGCTCTTGTAGACCAGGCTGGCCTCGAACTCACAGAGATCTGCCTGCCTCTGCCTCCTCAGTGCTGGGATTAAAGGCATGCGCCACCACCGCCCGGCTTAATATATAATTTTCATTCGACATTTTGGAAGTCCTTTATTGTAAAGATAATCTTTTGTCTGGTGACAGACAGCAGCCACAGCGATCATTCTGGCCCTCCACGCTGGATGAAGTCCATTTCTTCCTGAGATATAGGTTTCCTTCTGTACTTCTGAGGTAATGTTTTTTGTATTTCTGCAGTGTCTGGTGGCCCCGGATGCATCAGCAGATCTGGGGATTTGCTTCCTTTAGAATGCTGTGAAATTACAGAAGAGTGGGAGGGTAGCCCAGCCAATCTCAAAACGTCTGAGGCACTGAGTTTAGGATTGTCTCTTCTGTCAGGGAACCTTATTAATGGAGTATGTGGCTTCACTACCTGCACAACACTGCTGGCAGAAGCCATCTTGCTGCCCATCGTGACCCCCGAGCAGGGGCCAGTTTGTGGAACTTTTGTGTGGTAGCTATTCTTGGTTGTCTACTTGACTACATCTGGAATTAACTCAAAAATGGAGGGCAAACTATGAGGGATTTTTGCTTAATTTGAAGTAGGAAGATCTACTTCTAATCCAGATACTTGAGGAAGGAAGACACACTTTTAATCCAGATCTGCTGCGGGAGCTCCTTCTGCTCCTTTAGCCAATAGCCGTTGAGATACCAGCCCACTGGGGTGTGGTCTCTTTCTCTTTAAAAAGCAGCAGCAGCCCTCCACTCTCTCTCTTGCTCCAGCTACTAGACTCCTTTCCTGGCTGTCGTGTAGGACGGTATTCTGTAAAATTTTCCCCTCAGATAAATAACCCTTTGAATCCAAACTGGTGTGGGATTGTTTTGTGCTTTATCTGGCACCCAACTTTTGGTTTTAGAACCAGGTCCTGCTTGTTGGGGGTTTCTGTTTTCCCATTAGGTCTCACAGCCAGCAGGCCCCAAAGAAAATCACACAGAGGACTGTATTAATGAAAAACTGATTGGCCCATTAGCTCAGGCTTCTCATTAGCTCTTGGTAGCTTTATTAACCCATTATTCTTATCTATGTTAGCCACATGGTTCAGTACCTTTTTCAGCGGGGCAGGTCACATCCTGCTTCTTCAGTGATCTGAGCAGGACTCGGAGGAATGGGCTTCCTCCTTTCCAGAATTCTCCTGTTCTCATCACCCTGCCTCTACTTCCTGTCTGGTTGACCCACCTATACTTCCTGCCTGGCCAATCAGCATTTAGTTAAAACATGACTGACAGAATACAGACAATTCTTCTGCACCACAGATCGTTTTTTGACCTGGGGAAACCCACCTCTAACTTGAACCACATGTTCTGCTACAGCCTATATAAGGACATGGAAGACAGAACGGAAGCGTTTGCTCTTTGCCTGCTTGCTCTCTTCTCACTAGCAAGTCCATTCCTTCACTGACATTAGAGCCTACTGTACAGGATTCCAGTGGATACTGGGCAGAGATGTCCAGTCTCATGAGCTGAGTTTTGGACTTTCCAATGACAGTCAGCCAGTCAGATTATCTGGACCACAGCCTATAAATTATTCTAATAAATCCTTTCTCTCTCTCTCTCTCTCTCTCTCTCTCTCTCTCTCTCTCAATTTGTTCTGTAAGTTCTATTACTGTAGAGAACCCTAACTAATACAACAGGTCTTACACTGACATAGTGGTAATACTTGTATATCCCAGCATTCAGGAAGTAGAGGACCCCAGGTGGCACATGCCTTTAACTCCAGCACTCTGAAGGTAGAGGCAGGTGGATCTGTGAGCTCAAGACCAGCCAGCATGGACTACTTAGTGACTTCTCAGATAGCTAGGGCTACATAGACCCTGTCTCAAGAGGAGGAGGTAGACGAAGGCTCAGCAATTCAAAGTCATCTATGGCTAAATAGTCTTCAAGCAATAAAATGAAAAAGAGGCCAGAGTTGATGACACTGGCCCGAAATCATGGTACTTTGGAGGCTGTTCACTGGAAAGTGACAGATGACATAGAAGAGTGGAGCTGGGGTGCTGGGGCACGTCTTTAATCCCAGCACTCGGGAGGCTGAGGCAGCCTGGTCTACAGAGCGAGTTCCAAGACAGCTAGGCTACACAAAGAAACTCTGCCTCAAAAAAACAAATAAATAAATAAATATAAAAATAAAATATAATTATGAGAATGAGTGTGTGCATCTATGAAGAAGCAGAGGGTTTATCCCATGAGTCTTAAACTAGCTTGGGAGGAAATTTACACAACCCATTAGGCCATCTCTCTAGCACATAGTAACGTGTTTGTTGTTGTTTCCATAGCAATGGTGTTAGGGGAACTCAGTGGGCTTGGAGAACACAGAGAATCACCCAGCCTTCTGGACCTCAGAGCAGCACTACTAGTGCGTGATTCTGCACAGGACTCAAACAGAGGACAATGGTGTGCCCACGGCTGCAGTCCCTCTTCCTGCCATATGAGCTTAATTCATGGGAACTCAGGAAGGGGACCAAAGCAACTGTTTTCCTCCTTACGGAGTCAGACTCCAGGCAAACAGGGAACACTGCAAAAAGCCTGTCCCAGTACTGGGGAGAGGGGGAAACAGTTCCCTAAATCAGAGAGGCCTGGTTAAGGTCTCACAACAGGTTAAAGTACATCTTTGGGATATCTGGACTTGAACTGCCCAGACAAGGGTTGAGCAGGGTGTGGCCACTGCATAGAATGCAGGGTAGAATTTCCCCAGGTGAGGGCATCTCTGAGAGAAGTATGGAAGATGGGGATGCAGATGCTAAGGCAGGAGGCCTGGCAGGGTTTCTGCGGATGAGGGGTTACCGTGTATGCCAGGCCACACCCCACCCCCGCCAGGATATCTCAGCATTTATGTTTTCAATAAAACTTACAGTGGACTATTGTTTGGAACTAAGGGGCTGCTGTGCCTGATCCCAAGAAACAAGGCTGAAAAAGCAAAAAGAGGGGCCCGGTGTGGTGGGGATTTTCCTGTAATCCCAGTACTTAGGCAGAAGTGAGAAGGCCATTTTAAGTTTAAAGCCAACCTGCTCTGTGCGGGGAGTTCCAGACCAGCCAAGGCTGCATAGCAAGATGCTGTCTGGGACTGGTAAAGATGCTAAAAGCCAAGCCAGATGGACTAAGTTGGATCCCCAAGACCCACACAGCGGGAAGAAAGAAAATATCCCCAACAGGTTGTCCTCTGACCTCCATATCTGCATATGCCATACACATTCACATACAAAAAAAAAATTAAGACTTTTTTTGTTTTGTTTGTTTTTTGTTTTTCGAGAGAGAGTTTCTCTGAAGCCTGTCCTGGAATTAGCTCTTGTAGACCAGGCTGGCCTAGAACTCACAGAGATCCTCCTACCTCTGCTTCCCAAATGCTAGGATTAAAAGCATGTGCCATCACCCCCCAGTTTTTTATTTTATTTTGAGACAGGGTTTCTCTGGAGGAGACTGATAGTTCTTGAACGTGCTCTGTAGACCAGGTTGGCCTCAAATTCAGAAATCCTCTGAGTTCTGGGAATAAAAGACATGTATTTACCATTGCCCAGGTAAGACAAATTTTTTTTTTATGATTTATTACATATACAGTGTTCTGCCTGCGTGTATGTCTGCAGGCCAGAAGAAGGTGCCAGACCTCACTGCTAATGGTTGGGAGCCACCATGTACTTGCTGGGAATTGAACTCAGGACCTCCACAAGAGCTGCCGGTGCTCTTAAACTCTGTGCCATCTCTCCAGCCCGACAAATATTTTTTTTTTAGGAAAAAGAAAAGAAAGAAAGAAAGAAAGAAAGAAAGGAAGAAAGAAAGAAAGAAGGAAAGAAAGAGAAAAAGAAACCTAAGTAAATGAACCACACAAAAATCAAAGGAAGGAAGGCGCTTGAGAGACAGCTCAATAGTGGTTCCTGCTCTTCCCAAGAACCCAGGCTCAGTTCCCACATCAGGCAGCATACAGCTGACTCTAGCTCCAAAGGATCCTACACCCTCCCCTGGTCTCCTCAGGCACCTGCACCCTTGTGGCTTACATTCACACAAAACACACAAACCTACAAATTAAAAAAAAAAAAAAAAGGGACCAGGGAGCGAGATGGCTGAACTGTTAATAACACTGGATACAGCTGCCTTTAATGCCAGCACTCAGGAGGCAGAGGCAGGGGGATTTCTATGAGTTTAAGGCCAGCCTGATCTACAGAGCGAGTTCCAGGACAGCCAGGGCTATTTCACAGAGAAACCCTGTCTGGAAAAATAAAAACAAAAGACCAATGGATGTTCTTTCAGAGGGTCCAGGTTCAATTCCCAGCACCTACATGGCAGCTCACTACTGGAACTCTAGTTCCAGGTAATCCGACACCCTCACACAGACATGCATGCAGGCAAAACCCCAATGCACATAAAATAAAATTCAAAACAAACAAGGTGGTGCACACCTTTAGTTACAATGCTTGGCGGCAGAAGGTAGAACTTGCTGTGTAGATCAGGCTGGCCTGGAACTCACTGTCTCCAATGGCTACCACACCCTCTCAGCACGCTTTCTCTGGTACCATGGTGGCTACTTCTCTGCTGCTCTAATAAAGTTCCATGGCCAAGATAATTTATAGAAGAGAGGATTTGAAGCCAGGTGGTGGTGGCACACACCTTTAATCCTAGCACTCAGGAGGCAGAGGCAGGCAAATCTCTGTGAGTTCAAGGCCAGCCTGGTCTACAAGAGCTAGTTCCAGGACAGGCACCAAAGCTACACAGAGAAACCCAGGCTCGAAAAACAAAGCAAAAATAGATAGGGGCTATATCCCCAGACCACCACAGGTATTGTGGATGCCCTTACTTTTTCTCTAACATCCCTCCTCACCACCCTGCTCGTCTGCCGTATGGTTGATGGCCCTCCATGTTAACCTTAATCTTTCCTTCTCTTCTTTAGGCAGTTACAGGCTGTAAATGCCTGTCTAACTTAGGACTTTTCTTTTAAACCCTAAAGAAATTGTTCCTAGGTTCTGTTTTATTTATTTTTTTGAAAAAGATCTAGCCGGGCGGTGGTGACTCACACCTTTAATCCCAACACTTGGGAGGCAGAGGCATGTGAATCTCTGAGTTTCAGGCCAGCCTGCTCTACAAAGCTGGTTCAGGACGGTCAGGACTGTTTCACAGAGAAACCCTGTCTCGAAAATCTAAATGAATAAATAAATAAATAAATAAATAGGACAGAATCAGGGAATAAATGCCAAGTACAATGAGTTCAAGTGTTAACAGCATTGAGGGAAAAGATTTCCCCCAATACAAGTGTTGCAGTTCTGAGGGGAAAGGTATCCTGGCATCTGGAGCCAAGGAATGCCACAAAGTCACACTGCACAACAAACCTCACAGAAGAGCTTCATTGGGAGAGACACAAGAGGGTGGCTCCCTCTGCTCAGGGGAAAAGCAGCAAAGAACTGGGTGGGAGGCGGCTCTCTGAGGACAAAGCTGTACACAGTGAA